TACGTGGAAATCCGAAACGGAGAAAAACACGGGACTTTTTAGGCTAATGTACAAGCCCTCTCTTTCTCATTAGGACTCTCCTCACCATTACATAGTACAATTTGAGCTCCCATTAATGGAGTCTTGTAAGCTATTCTAGAGAAAAGGAGGAAGAAGAAAAGGATCAACCAAAAGACCCCCTAAACATGTGGGAAAGCCCCATATTTATAGGGGTAAGGGAAAGGGGGAACCTAACCTAATGGGCCAAGTAAGCCCAAAATGGGCCCAAGGGGCCGAAACATGCCTAATAGGTTGAAATGGACCTTGTCATTCGGGCTCCAAGCTGGGGCGATGTCTTGGGCTCCTGAACAGTAACGGACCGGGATAATATACCTCAACACTCTTGTTTGAAAACGGTTGAAACCACAAGTAACGGTAATGTACTAGTTATGTTATCAAGAAAGGTTGAATGTATTAGTTATGTTATTAAATTGACAAGGAATTTATTGAAGACCTAGGATATGCCGAAATGATTAATAGTTTTGCACACAAAATTGTTCGGTGAGCTTTACTTATTTAGTTGTTTTAATAAATGTGACATCGTTTTGTTAGAATGTAAAAAACTTTATTCAAGTATTGAGCTTCTGTGGTAGACTGGTAGTAATCTCTTATATAAAAGATGTTATTTTACAAACAAATATTCTCTCCATCACATTTTATCTGTCGTGCTTTCTTTTTTTGTTTTCTCAAAATAAGTGTCACATTTTTTTTGGGAAAGAAATAAATGGTCTATATCATTGCACTTTATGATACTTAAATCGCAACTACAACTTTTACTTTTTAACCACTTAATTAATAATTGTATCAAATTAAAGTAGGACAAATGATCGGTTGGCTGCTGTGCTTCACTAGCAATTATAGATGCTCTAATAACGCCAATAGCTATTGTAATCATATTGTGTATTTGTGTAGGTAAGAAAAGCAAGTGTTCTTCAAAATTGAATTTCTAAAATAATACTATTAGAAATTCACATCTAAAAATATTACTAATAGATGATTAATGGATTCATACTACATGTGATATTGATCACAATATATTATTTGTTGAACCTAATTATATATTATATGTTATCTTATGTTTAGGCCCAAAAATTAGTAGTACTATGGATATTAATTTTAAGGAGCTAATATTTTATCTTATAAAGTATAGGAACCAAATATGTAGAATATCATGAGCTTAATCCCAACTAATGATTGGCTTATTAGAGGAAAGCACTCTCTATAAATAAAGGGGTTATGATCCCTAGTTGAACACATCATTCCATCTTTCTGTATCTTATCGTTAGAGAGACAATTCTCCAATATAAAGGAGTCAGTTATGCTTATATTTCTCCAGATAATTTCATTATTTATGAAGATTAAAGTTTTAATAGAGTTATTCCAACAAAATACGGGTCCGTTTGGAGCCTATATAATGGGCTGATAAGCCTTAAAATAGAAAAAAAGAGCCAAACACTAGCTTATAGGGTTGTTTGGGACTTTGGGCTGTTTGGGCTAATTAGCAAAAAAAGTAGCAATACCCTAACTTTTCTGGCTGAAAGTAATTAATTTACCGTTGAAAAGGTAAAATACCCCTTTGCCCGTTCTTCATATCGTAATACACTACCTGCGCTTCGCAGTAGTCTTCTACCACTCCTGGATCGACCTCCTAGTTTCATCTGCTCCACTCCTTCCAAATCCCTTATCGACACCTTCTCGTTCAACTTTGGCCTATTAAAGGTAAGCTGCGCTGCTCTTCTTCTTCTTCTTCTTAAATTGTTCGTAGATCCATCAGATTTTTTAGATATATTTTGTCATCTTTGCTACATATTAGCTTGAAAGAATTTAAAGCTTTAATGAAACTATTCGCTGATATTTAAGTTCGTCCATCATATTAAGCAGTTCCTCATATTAGTGAAGTTCATTCAACTTAAATTTTAATGAAACTTGTTCACTGATATGTTTGAACTGTTTTAGGTGTGGTGAGTAAATAGTATAGCTCGATTAATGTAATGAAACTTAACTCATGTTCTAGCAGTTATATTTGAAGAGAAAAAAGATGTGGTACAATCGTAAAGGATTTATTAGCCAAAACATCATGGCAGCTTGTAGCTTTGATCTTCAATTTACATTTGCCGTTCTGGGATGGGAAGGATCAGCTCATGATGCTAGAATACTACGAGAGACACTAGAGAATCCTAGTTTGGGATTTCCCTATCCCCCACTTGGTATGTTTTAAATTTGTGTCATTTTGCTAAAAAAAGAAGATTGTGATATAACTTTTTAGTAGAGCTAATTATTCAATTTTTATTTAATTAGGTAAATACTATTTGGTAGATGCGGGGTACTCTATTCAAGAATTTTTTTTGCCGCCACACCGCAATATCAGATATCATCCATCTTCTTTCAATGGAGAGAGACCAAACTCAGGAAAAGAACTCTTCAACAAAAAGCATTCATCGTTGCGTAGTTGCATTGAGCGAACATTTGGTGTATGGAAGGCAAGGTGGCGTATCCTTAGATTCATGCCTTCTTATCCTTTTAAGGTGCAGGTCAAAATAATCTTAGCTAGCTACCATGGCGCTACATAATTTCATCCGTCGATATTGTCATGACGATCCTGCTTTTCTTTGTTTTGAGACAAACCTTGATTTTGTTCCTCAAGATCGCATTACTCCACCAACACGTACAAGAATCCACCGAAAGGTCTTCAAATGAGGTTCACGGTCTAAGCTCTGCACGTATGATTGCATTTCGAGATGAAATTACCGAAAATTTGGCGCGTAATATGAGGCAACGTCGTTGATAGTATATGACGAGTGCATGTGTTCTATTACACATTTCCTTTCCTAAACTTATTTTCAGACATAAAAATTTGCGATGAAATAATGTTACTACTTTTTATGTATTTTGTGTTTCATTTATTTTTTAAATGAACTCCAATGGATACTTATGTGTATTTTTTGTTTAATTTTTATTTTAATTTAAATGCATGTGAGCTTGTTAATATACTTCATAGAAAGTATATTTTTTAAAATCAATTTACGCATATTAGTCATAAAAAAGTACTAATGTTGCTCATTGGAAAATACGTAGTCTTTGAAAAGTACTTGTATAAACAATATAAAATTTGACAAAAGAGGAAGAAAATTTCCAAAGTTATCAATTAATTAATACTTCGTAATTACCTAATCACGCAAAAATATGTTTACTAGCTACTAAAGTGCACACCATATATTTAATACAAATAAGCAAATACCCTTAATGGTAATTTTACATTCAATCAGCCATTCCAGCCAGAATATTACCAAACACTTTCATTCCAGCATATTCAGTCTTTTCAGACTTTTCAGCCCAAACAGCTGGTCCAGTGATGAGTGTTTTCTCGCACTTAAAATAGATCGTAATATAGTGGTGTAAGTACGAGTATCGTCTCCACAGGGACGGACAAAAGGGAATCAAGAATTAATTAAATGCAGCGATTAAAAAAAATAAATAAAATAAATGCGTCGTGCGAGATATGATTGGTATGAAAAATTAAAATGCAACTAAACGATTAAAATAAATGGGTTCTCTCTAATTAATGACGAAGGGAACATGGATTGATTCCGGGGTAACCAGATTTCTGGCAGATCAGGCCTAATTACATGAAATTAATTCAATTGAGCCTAGCTAATCATTACTAAGTTCTTACCGCTCTCGCGGCGTAGAGTACAATAATTTAGGGGTCCAGGCTGATCTCTCATGCGACAAGATCCTAAATTATTGCCAAAACGAGCGAGCTTACGGGCCCCTTAATCGCTACTAATCTCTTAGCGAACGATTAAATGTGTGTGAAGGTGTCCTAGAATAAACTAGATCTCTCTTAATTTATTCTACAAGAAATTGTAATTCTAGCGCGCGTTCTAGGTTACAAAAGATATCAGTTAAATTACTCAAACACAAATTAAACGGCATTCATGCAATTAATCCATCAAGAAACTAGCCATACATCATGATCAACCCCTTCATCAATCTCAATCCCTAATTAAACTACTCACAATTCATAATTGAAGAATCAATAGAATTGGGAAGAATAGAATTAATTGTCATTAATTAAAAAGGTGGAACTGACGTGCACTTTGTCGTGGTATGCACTCAAAATAATAATCAATACAACACTAATACGTAGTATAGTGTAGTAAGGTTCGTATCCACAGAGAAAGGAATACTTTTCTCTTTATAAACTAGTAACAAGGGGGGGGGGGGGGGGGGGTTAGATTGAGTAAATGAACTTGAATTTTATTTAAACACGAAGATGAACGAGTTATGTGGTTTAATTAATGAGAAGAAGACTTGGCTTTGCTTTTATCCACTTAATGAAATGTTCGTCGATCCCGGTTATATCTTTAACTATCTTCCTCTCGAATACTCAATCGAGGAGTATATCCAGTTCATCGAGGGTAGTTATTAATAACGAGAAGCGTTCATTAATAAAACTTACTACCGAGTCAATATAGAACAAGCGCCGTATATTAACTTGATAGTAGCAATAAAATCAAGATGAAAACGATTGAGATTGATAACCTCAACACAAGCGGTTTATTGGTTCAATCAATATAATTAATTCCCCTTGGCTTATTAACCATGAGAAGCATGCATTAACAACCCAAGTTTACTACCGTGAAAGAACCGAATTAATAACAAGCGTATTAACCGATTGATTCTAGTAATAATTAATATATAGAACAAGACTAGTTGATACTTTAAGTAATGCTCAATATATTAATATGGAATATGAATAGGAAGTAATTAATATTCAAGGAAGAAGATTAAAGAAAATAACTCACAACTTACAAATCATTAAGCTTCAAAGTAGCAAAACCAAGATGGAAGAGTTTAGCTCCTCATTTGAAGACTAAACATGATGAAAAATATAAAGAAAGAACTTGTCTAAACTGAGCTAAGAAGTATATGTGAATTGGTAAGAATGTTGTGAAGGAAAGGAGGTGTATTTATAGGCTTCTTGGGGTGCAGGTCGGGTACTCGATCGAGTATATATATGTACTCGATCGAGTATGTGCAGAAAGCTGAATTCGATCCATACTCGATCGAATTTATAGTAGAATTCATAGCTATACCCGATCGAGTATGTCGGTGTACCCGATCGGGTATAGACACTCGATCGTGGGGAAATCTTCCTCTGCATGTTCCTTTGTTTTCGGATCCGATCCGATTTGAAAATTCAACCAGATACTCGATCGAGTATAGGAGATACTCGACCGAGTATAGACAAAATCAGGATTTCCTTCTTTTGTCTTGTGATTTTGCACCTTCCTTCAACTTTTTGGGTTTCACCAACTGTCCTTGAGTGATGTCAGACCTGTTTGAGCTCAGAATAAACCTAATCTAAACAATTTACAAGAATTTAACAAACTAAACTATTTCACCGAAAGTGTGTAATTTCCGAAATACTAAACAACCAAAACTAACTAAAAATGTAATTAAACACACGGAAATTACAAACGTATCAACTCTCCCACACTTAGTTCTTTACTCGTCCTCGAGTAAAGTTCAATGTTTACAAGTGTAAAGATTCCCAGAGTTTCAAAAGTTTTTAACAAGATAAAAACACAAAGACCACCAAGGATAAAATATGAGTTTTAATGCTTAAATTACAAATGTCATCTTGGGTTTTATGGTCTTCTAGTGTTCATCTTTTCTTCCTCTTCTCCTTTTTCTTCTTCTTCTTCTTCTTCTTCTTCTTCTTCTTCTTCTTCTTCTTCTTCTTCTTCCAAGAGATCAAATGAGTTCCTGCACACAGAAAAATATTCCTCTCATATCTCTCATTTTGCCTAGGAGCCTTTTCAGGTTTTCATCCTAGCATCTCTTTGTGTTTTTCCATCCTCCCTAACTCACTCATTTTTTTAAAGCCATTTTTGCTTAGATTGCCCATTTTTTGGGTTTTCAACCTAACTAGCACTTCCTTTTTCTTTCATTTCTTTTTTTTTGTTGTTTTTTTTTTTGTTTACAAAGAGTAAAAGAAAAGTCATGCATAGTAAAGAGTAGAAAATAGCATTACATACCATGAGGAGTCTCCCCCCTTCTCAGTCCAAGCACTGTCCCTAGTGCCCGCCTTCTCCGCCGTAGAAGCCGCCTCCAAAACCTCCTCCAAAGTTCCCGTCTCCCATGTGAGTATCCCCGCCGTCCCCGCCATCAAAACCGCCACCCCCGGAGCTCGATCCTCCAAAGTTGCCCCATTGAGTGGGGTCATACCAAGAGGGGGGTGGGGGTGGGTGAGCCATGGTATGGAACTGGCCTTGATGGGCCATGTAAGAGTACATAGGTCCATAAAACCTACGTTGATCTTCTTCATATCTGCGGTTGTCATCGGCCCGTTGCTCCTCTAGTCTTTGAAATCTCGCCCTTTGTTCCTCCCGATATTTACCAACTTCATTGGTAACTTTGTTGAGTCCTTCAAGCATTTGTTGGAAGTAATCGGGAGGTGGGGGGGCTTGGTTTGGTGCGGGTAGGTAGTGGTGTGCAACCTCGGGTTCTTGGTACTCGGGTTGGGGTTCTTGGTCGGGTTGGTCTTCTGGGAGATCTTGGGCTTGTGGTTCTTGGAGATGTGGTGGAAGGGCATGAGGGAATAGGAAATGGGGCACCTCGAACTCCGGTCTATAGGTTAGTTTGGGGGTGTCCGGGTTTGGCATTAGGAAATAATGGACAGGTTGTACGTGGATGACCCAATTGTACATGTTTTTGGGTTGGTCTCCAATATAAACCGTATGGGAGAAAGATGTACATCCCGAGCGTCCTAACCAACCCATATCCATCAAGCAATAGTCGGGTATAGGAGAGTTATCCGTATACCCGAACCTACTCGCCAAGTGCATTATCACTCCACCCACAACTATGGTCCCTTTGGCTAAGCTTTCCTTTTTTAAATGTGCCCATATGAGATTGCATAGATTAAAGTCCACGTGGCGACGGAATAAGGCCACGGACATCAAACACACGTCCCCGATTCTAGTGTGATGGTTGTTGGGACGGCCAAGCAAGCAATTCGCCAAGAATTTTAAGAACAACCGGAGAACGGGGTGTTGGACATGACTGATATACATTTGGGAGGAACTAAATTTCACTTCCCCGGTCATCTTCGTCCATAGGGAGTGCCCAAAGATGGTGTTATCCGAGATGGCTCTCTCGTAGGGCACCGGGATGCCAAAATGTTCAGCAAACTCGAGTTTCGTTATTGAGTAGTTTCGGTTAAACAGACGAAACTCGAGTCTATCATCCCTAAAATCCGCCTCATCACTTTCAAATTTTACCGAACTCATGAATTCGTAGATAATTCGTTCATTAGAATTGTATTTCATATTGAAAATACGGTCCATATCTAATGCATGAAAGAATTTTCTACAACTCTTATAGACTCCTAATTCACGTAGAGCATCATGGCATAGAAAACGGGAAGGTTTTACTTGCCTTTTTGTTGTTGCTAGGAGTCTAGTTCGGTGTTCGGCGTCGGCGGGAATGATGTCTTCAAAGCCCGGGATAGGTGCTATGGTGCTTGAGCTCTCTCCCCTATTCTTCCTTGGTGCCATTTGTGAAGCTTTTGAGCTTAAAGAGGCAAAAATTCGAATGGGGGTAGGGTTTTTGGGATTTGGTGGAAGTTTGGGGAAAATGGGATTTTTGGGTATAGATATGGAGAGGAGAGTGAAGGGAGTATTTTGGTGGTGAAATGAGATGATTTGGTGAAGAAATGAGGGAGATATGGTAGAGAGAAGATAGAAAAATGGAGGTTGGGAGGGGATGTGTTCGAAGTTGGGTGTTTATTTGGAGAAGATGAAGTGAAAATGGGTGTTTTGGTGTATAAATCGCAGGGGTACCCGATCGAGTATCCCTGTATACCCGATCGGGTACCGGAGGCAGGGGGACAGAAAAGTTGGTTTTTCACAAATACTCGACCGAGTATGGATATGTACTCGATCGGGTATAGGAGGCAGGGGTTTATTGCTGTTGTTTTTCCACAAATACTCGATCGAGTATGGATATGTACTCGATCGGGCCTCAGAGACAGGCTTCCGATGGAGTTGATTTTCCAGGCATACTCGACCGGGTATGTTACAATACTCGATCGAGTAGGCCTGTATCTTTGAAAATTGATCTGGACCTCGATCGAGTATGAAAACCGGGTTCCCCTTTTTACCCATACCCGACCGAGTATTACAGAATACTCGATCGGGCATGTCCCCAGATACACTTTTTTTTCTCATTCTTCTCTTTTTTTTTTTCATTTTTTTTTTGACACACACACATAATGAAATAAGCTGAAAAGAAAACATACCTTGCTTGGGTTGCCTCCCAAGAAGCGCCTAATTTAACGTCGCGGCACGACGCCATGGTATAGTTCATCCTTCATAGATTGGATCGACGAGATCCATGCATTCAACGCTTTCTTTTGAAAAGTTCTCAAGGAACGGTTTGAGTTGATGTCCGTTAACCTTGAGGATTTTGCCAGTGTCGAGGCTCTTTATTTCAACTGCTCCGTGAGGGTAGACTTTGACTACCTCGAATGGTCCATCCCATCGTGACCTCAGTTTACCGGGGAAAAGACGAAGGCGTGAGAGAAAGAGAAGGACTTTGTCTCCGATTTGGAAGTCCTTTCTCATTATCATTTTATCATGCCATACCTTTGTCTTTTCCTTGTAGATGGCGGCGTTCTCATAGGACTCAAGTCGAAGTTCCTCTAGCTCTTGGAGTTGTAGCTTCCTTTGCATCCCCGCTTGCTCCATGTCAAGATTGAATGTTTTTACCGCCCAATAAGACTTATGTTCGAGTTCGACCGGGAGATGACAGGCCTTCCCGAACACAAGTCTATAGGGAGACATTCCAATTGGTGTTTTGAAAGCGGTTCTATATGCCCACAAGGCATCATCTATCCGAAGACTCCAATCTTTACGGTTAGGGTTCACCGTCTTTTGGAGTATAGACTTCAACTCCCTGTTCGAGACCTCGGCTTGGCCGTTTGTTTGCGGGTGATAGGCGGTGGAGAGCTTGTGGGTGACACCATATTTCTTCAACAAGGCACTCACAGTTTTGTTGTGGAAGTGAGTGCCTCTATCACTTATCAAGATGCGCGGGACTCCAAACCTTGAGAAGATGCGGGTCTTGATGAAATCTGCCACTACTTTGGCATCATCGGTTTTGGTGGCTTTTGCTTCCACCCATTTTGAAACATAGTCCACTGCCAAAAGAATGTATAGATTTCCATGGGAGTTAGGAAAAGGTCCCATGAAATCTATTCCCCAAACATCGAATATTTCCACATAGAGCATAGGAACTTGTGGCATCTCATGTTTTCGAGAGATGTTGCCCATGCGTTGGCAATTGTCACAGGATTGACAAAAGACATGGGCATCTCGAAATAAGCTTGGCCACCAAAAACCGCATTCAAGTACCTTCATGGCCGTTCGCTTGCTTCCAAAGTGGCCACCACATGCATGTGAGTGATAGAAGGTGAGAATGGATGCTATCTCTGTCTCGGGGATGCACCTTCTAATGACTTGATCTTTGCAATGTTTCCACAAGTATGGTTCATCCCATACGTACTGTTTTGCATCGTGTTGGAGCTTCTCCCTTTGAGCTTTAGAGAAGCTTGGTGGGAACCTGTTTAGAACAAGGAAATTAACAATGTGAGCGTACCAAGGGCGAATTTCCTTAAGAGAAAAAAGAGTCTCATCGGGAAATTCCCCTCGGATATCATCCTTGATATGATCATTTCCTTCATCAAGTACTAAACGGCTCAAGTGATCGGCCACCAAGTTCTCCATGCCCTTCTTATCCTTGATCTCAACATCAAACTCGCTCAAGAGTAGTATCCACCGAATCAACCTCGGTTTGGCCTCCTTCTTTGTCATTAAAAATCTAAGAGCCGCATGATCGGTGTAAATGATCACTTTGGTTCCAAGTAAGTATGACCTGAATTTTTCAAGTGCGTAGACGACGGCCAACATTTCTTTTTCGGTGGTGGCGTAGTTGCGCTGAGCATCATTGAGTGTGGTGGATGCATAGTAAATCACATGAGAAGCTCTTCCCACTTTTTGGCCCAAGACGGCCCCGACCGCATATTCGCTAGCATCACACATGATCTCAAATGGAAGAGACCAATCGGGAGCTTGGATGATAGGTGCGGTTACTAGCTTTTCCTTCAACGTATTGAAGGCCTTCTTGCATTCTTCGGAGAAGATGAATTCCACCTCCTTTTGCAAAAGAGTGCATAAAGGAGATGCAATCTTTGAGAAATCTTTGATGAATCTCCGGTAGAAACCTGCATGTCCAAGGAATGACCGTATCTCCCTAATGGTGGTAGGATAAGGGAGTGATTGTATGACTTCAACTTTGGCCTTGTCAACCTCTATCCCTTTGGATGAGATTACATGGCCTAGAACAATTCCTTCTTCCACCATGAAGTGGCATTTTTCAGAATTCAAAACAAGGTTTGATTCTAAACAACTTTTGAGCACAAGGGAGAGATGATATAAGCATGAATCAAATGAGTCCCCATGGATTGTGAAGTCATCCATGAAAACTTCCATAAATAGCTCAACATACTCGGAGAATATGCTCATCATGCATCTTTGGAAGGTGGCGGGTGCGTTACAAAGTCCGAATGGCATACGTCGATAGGCAAAAGTGCCAAATGGACAAGTGAATGTTGTCTTCTCTTGATCTTCAGGGGCTATGGGCACTTGAAAGTACCCGGAATAGCCATCAAGGAAGCAATAGAATTTATGTCCCGCAAGTCTCTCAAGCATTTGATCAATGAAGGGTAAAGGAAAGAAATCCTTTCTAGTTACCGCGTTGAGGCGACGGTAATCTATACATACCCTCCATCCATTTTGAATTCGGGTGGGCATAAGTTCTCCATGTTTGTTCTCCACCACCGTGACTCCGGTCTTCTTGGGAACAACTTGGGTTGGACTAACCCACTTGCTATCGGATATGGGGAAGATTATCCCCATTTGGAGAAGCTTGATGACCTCCTTTTTTACCACCTCCATCATAGGTGGGTTCAATCTCCGTTGTGGTTGGCGCACCGGTTTGGCTTCATCCTCCATCAAGATGCGGTGCATGCAAGTAGATGGACTAATGCCTTTAATGTCGGCTATAGTCCATCCGATTGCAAGTTTGTGCTCTTTAAGCACCGCAATTAGCTTCCTTTCTTGCTCTCCGGTCAGTTTGTTCGAGATTATGACCGGTAATGTTTCTTTTTCTCCAAGGTACACATATTTCAAATGTGTTGGGAGTGGTTTCATCTCAACTTCGGGGGCCTGCATAATAGAAGGCAAAGGCTTCTCCTCGGGGATGGTTAGTGGGAATGCTCTTGACCCCGGTGGCATAAGTGGAAGTTGGAAATGGTTATCCAACTCCACCATCATGGCTTGCCTATTGGGGGTCAAAGCAAGTTCTAAAGAATTTTCCCCGAGGTCATTCTCAATTACACTTAGCAGCTCATCCTCCCTATTCATTTCAAAAGTATTTTGCACAATGGGATCTATAATATCAATGGCAAATAGAGAATGATTTTCATTTGGGTATTTCATGGAGTCGTAAATATTGAATTCAACTTTATCTCCATCAAATTCCAGAGTTAAAGATCCGCTAAAAACATCAATTTTAGCTCTAGCGGTCTTTAAAAATGGCCTTCCTAAAAGGATAGGAACCGCATTCTTGTCATTTTCCATTTCTAAAACATAAAAGTCGGCGGAAAAGATCAAATTGTCTACCATAACTAGTACGTCTTCGACAATACCTTTAGGGTAGGCGTTTGATCTATCCGCAAGTTGGATAACCACTCCGGTTTCGTTTAAAGGACCAAGCTCAAGTGCTTTATACAAAGAATAAGGAATAACATTGATTGATGCTCCTAAGTCTAGCATGGCTTTGAAAACGTAGTGCCGCCCAACTTACAAGGTATAGTGAACATTCCGGGGTCATTGTATTTCTTTGGGAGTTTCTTTTGAAAGACCGCGGAAACACGTTCACTAACTTGGACTTTTTGTTTTCCATTGAGTCTATGTTTTCTTTTTATTGTACAAAGCTCTTTGAAAAATTTTGCAAATCTGGGAACACCCTTTATTAAATTCAGAAGAGGAATATTTACCTCACACTTGGAGAATGTCTCGTAGATGTCCTTGTCTTTGTCCACCCTCCGTGTTTCCCTTAGAGCTTCGGGAAATGGTGCCTCTACTTCATGAATAACTGGGGATGGAGTTGAAATGTGAGCTTCCCCTTCCTCCGGTTGAGTTTTCTCCACAAGCTCTTCTTCCTCTTCCTCGCCAATGTGGCTTTTGGCTTTCTCCTTGGCAATCACCAACTCTTTGCCACTCCTCAATGTTACCGCATGGGCTTGTTGCCTAGGATTTGGCTCCGTTTGAGATGGAAGCTTTGTTGAATCCTTGGCTTCAAGCCTACTCACCGCACTTGAGATTTGGCTCATTTGATTCTCAAGGTTTTGGATGCTTGATTTTGTCTCATGTTGGAATTGAACCATGTTTTGTTGCATGGTTGAGACATTAGAGGTGAGTGCTCGGATCATGTCTTCGGTGGACATAGTTGAGCCTTGCCCTTGGGGTTTAGAGTATGGTTGCTTTTGAGGAAATTGGTTTTGTGGAGGGTTATTTTGTGGTGGGTTTCCTTGCGGATTCCCATATCTTAAGTTGGGGTGATCTCTAAACCCGGGATGATAAGTGTTGCCGTAAGAATCATACCTCTTTTGGTTTGGGAATCCCAAAGCGTTGACCTGCTCGGGGTTTTCTTCTTGAAGGCTCGGGCATGCATCGGTGGGGTGGCCTTGTTGTGTGCAGATGCCGCAGACCTTGACTTCTTGGATTTTGGAATTTAAAAGAAAATCCTTAACCAAAGAACTCAAGCCGGCAACTTGACTTTCTAGAGATGATGTTGATTCGGCCGCCATGACTCTTTTTGTTGATGACCGCCCGTTGTGATATCTACAATTCTCGGCCAACTCCGAGATAAGATTCATAACCTGAGAAGGAGTCTTGTTAACGATTCCTCCTCCACACGCGGCATTAATCATCCGTCTATCATCGTTGCAAAGACTATCATAGAAGTATAAAATGAGGTCTTGCTCCGAATAGCCATGATATGGACAGCTCGCACAAAGTTTTTTGAATCGTTCCCAATATTCATAGAACGATTCATCATCATTTTGCTCCACATTGCTGATTTGCTTTTTGAGTGATGAGGAGACAGAGGCTGGATAGTACCTTTCGAGGAAAGCTTTCTTCATGGCCGCCCATGTATCTATACTTCCCGAAGGAAGATAGAATAGCCAATCCTTTGCGGTGTCCTTGAGTGAGAATGGGAAAGCCCGCAATTTGATTTGCTCCTCGGTGACTCCATTAGGGCACATGCTTGTGCACACAACATGGAATTCCGAGAGGTGTTTATTCAGATCCTCTCCTCTTAAGCCATGGAAGGATGGCAAAAGATGAATGAGCCCAGATTTTAGCTCAAATGTATTACCCTCGTTGAGTGTAGGGAAGGTAATACATAACGGTTGTTGATTCAAGTTCGGAGCTGTGAGCTCCCTCAAGGTTCTTGTTTCTTGAGCCATAGTAATTGGCTCTTCAGATTTGCTAGAACTGGAGCTAGCGTTTGAGGTTTCCTCCGAGGGTATGTGCGGAATTAAATTTCTCAACCTCTCGAAGGCTTGTTCTATTTCGGGGTTTGCTTGATAAGTGATTTCGTTTATAGAACGATATCGGACCATATACTTCACAAAGCTCAGAAATAGAAAAATAAGAACTCTTTATATTTTTGGTTAATTATATTTTTTTTTTTATTTTTCTTGAAATAAAATAAAAAGAAAAATAATTGCCTTTCCCCGGCAACGGCGCCAAATTTGACGTGCACTTTGTCGTGGTGTGCACTCAAAATAATAATCAATACGACACTAATACGTAGTATAGTGTAGTAAGGTTCGTATCCACAGGGAAAGGAATACTTTTCTCTTTATAAACTAGTAACAAGGGGGGGGGGGTTTAGATTGAGTAAATGAACTTGAATTATATTTAAACACGAAGATGAACGAGTTATGTGGTTTAATTAATGAGAAGAAGACTTGGCTTTGCTTTTATCCACTTAATGAAATGTTCGTCGATCCCGGTTATATCTTTAACTATCTTCCTCTCGAATACTCAATCGAGGAGTATATCCAGTTCATCGAGGGTAGTTATTAATAACGAGAAGCGTTCATTAATAAAACTTACTACCGAGTCAATATAGAACAAGCGCCGTATATTAACTTGATAGTAGCAATAAAATCAAGATGAAAACGATTGAGATTGATAACCTCAACACAAGCGGTTTATTGGTTCAATCAATATAATTAATTCCCCTTGGCTTATTAACCATGAGAAGCATGCATTAACAACCCAAGTTTACTACCGTGAAAGAACCGAATTAATAACAAGCGTATTAACCGATTGATTCTAGTAATAATTAATATATAGAACAAGACTAGTTGATACTTTAAGTAATGCTCAATATATTAATATGGAATATGAATAGGAAGTAATTAATATTCAAGGAAGAAGATTAAAGAAAATAACTCACAACTTACAAATCATTAAGCTTCAAAGTAGCAAAACCAAGATGGAAGAGTTTAGCTCCTCATTTGGAGACTAAACATGATGAAAAATATAAAGAAAGAACTTGTCTAAACTGAGCTAAGAAGTATATGTGAATTGGTAAGAATGTTGTGAAGGAAAGGAGGTGTATTTATAGGCTTCTTGGGGTGCAGGTCGGGTACTCGATCGAGTATATATATGTACTCGATCGAGTATGTGCAGAAAGCTGAATTCGATCCATACTCGATCGAATTTATAGTAGAATTCATAGCTATACCCGATCGAGTATGTCGGTGTACCCGATCGGGTATAGACACTCGATCGTGGGGAAATCTTCCTCTGCATGTTCCTTTGTTTTCGGATCCGATCCGATTTGAAATTTCAACCAGATACTCGATCGAGTATAGGAGATACTCGACCGAGTATAGACAAAATCAGGATTTCCTTCTTTTGTCTTGTGATTTTGCACCTTCCTTCAACTTTTTGGGTTTCACCAACTGTCCTTGAGTGATGTCAGACCTGTTTGAGCTCAGAATAAACCTAATCTAAACAATTTACAAGAATTTAACAAACTAAACTATTACACCGAAAGTGTGTAATTTCCGAAATACTAAACAACCAAAACTAACTAAAAATGTAATTAAACACACGGAAATTACAAACGTATCAGGAACTTACAAAGAATCCCAAAAGATTGATGAACAAGGCTGAAAAGCCCTCTAAAATACGTGTTAGGCACTCTCTCTAAGCTCCCCCCGTTGAAAACGGGGGTTTACAGGCTGTTTAAATAGAAAAATCGGGTGAAATTTGAGCTGAATTAGGATTTTCGGAGCCAGGCACGATGCCAGGCACGATCGTGCCTTCGGTCGTGTCTCCGGAGCAAAAACGCGCATTTTTGGCAGGCACGATCGTGCCTACTTAACTTCCGAATTTGACAAAACGTCCTTCATGAAAGTTGTAGATAATGAAGTCCTCTATCCACCCCAATTTTCCGAATGTGATTTGAATCATCCAATCAAGAGATATGATCAAAACGGTGGAAGGTGTCTTTCTAAAATCGCAGCAGAGATCATCTGACTTCATCGTCTGTTTTCACCTTCTTCCTCTCAGATTCTCGCAAAGGTGTATTCATATGATTTGTAGCCCTTGAAGTTGGCTTTCCTATGGAACTTGAATCGTGTACATTTGATGTTTCTACAAAGAGATATTCTTGAACGATTGACAGAAGGTCATCCTGATCGTCGTTTTCAAGCTTCATTCATCTTCTTTTGACCCCGTAGCCAATCCTAGAGCTCTTTTTCCTTCAAATCTTCATCATGAATCTTTCGGTGACCTCCAAAGCTATCAAATCATTCTCAAATGCTTCTCAAATCATCCCGATTGTTCCTCAAGTGCCGGGTACCGAACTCTAAAATCCTGATTTTGACTCCAAATGACACAAAACTCGAACCAACGTCTGTTAAACATAACTTGAGCTAAAATTGATACTTGTAACACCTTAAAGCTAGGAAAACCATCAAAATCCGAACCCAACACGCATCAAATGCATGTCCAAATACGGACTTATCATCCAGCTGGTTCCAAACGGCCCCTACATAATACATTCATGGGTGATGGTACTAGTATTGCTTCATGAGGAAAGATACTCCCTCCGTTCTTTACTAATTGTCCTCTTAATTTTGGCATGGGTTTTATGAAGAAAATAATATGGATGGTTTAAAAAGTGTAGTGAGTTGTGGGTAAATAAAAAAAGTAGAAAAGAGAAATGGGTCATGGTAATAAAAATGGGGGTATAAATGTATTTTGATCGAAAAAACTTATCAAAAAATGAAAGAGAAACAAACAATAAAAAACGTTCCAAAAAAATATGAGACAATTAATAAAATACGTAGGAACAATTAATAAAGAACGGAAAGGGTATTAAATATCATACTATACCATGGCATGACTCATGAGCTAATGAGCATTAAATATTTATAAAATGCCGGCTCCCAAATAAAAGTGTGTGCTAGGATAAACCCTCGAAGACTATTAATTCTACGTTTTACAGCTCACATCTTATCTATGTATAATTTAATATAAGCATAAGTGCATAACTATATATTGACTTCAGTACCTCCTTCTATTAATACTTCCATTATTACGTCCTATTTTGAATGCGTGGTATCAATAATAAAAATTGCCAGGAGTGGTGATACTTTGGAAGAACATTTATAGAAGTTTGTAAGACTATATTTTATATTGATATTCAAATTGTCCAACGAGATATGATGAGTTCTTGATATGCAAGAGATAGAGAAAAGAAAAGTTTGTTAACAATGATCGAATCAATTTACTTCTAAATAATTGAGAATTTTAAAACCGAGATGAATTATATTTATATGTCAAATTATCAGAGTTAAATAAGAAATTAACATTAGTAGTTATTTTACTCGTTTTTACAAATAATTCGTATGGTGTTCTATTGAAATTCACAATAACAATATAATCTTGACTCGTTCATACTTTAAAAATTGAATGGTAATGACTAATAGCCTAATATTAAATTAGGAATTCTATGTATCTTTGGAAACTCTTTTTAGTATAAATATATCTGCCAGGTACCCTATTGGGTAACCTTCCCATTATTTCACATGGTATCAAGAGCCTAAAATTTTTTTTCTCTCTCCCCTAAACCCTCGATCTTCTTCTCACGCAATGAGCTCGGCCGCAGCCTCCTCTGCCGAAGTCTCCAGCTCCTCCATGGACACCTTCACCATTGCTTCTACGTCTTCGACCACGGCGCCGGTTGCATCCTCCTTTTCCGACGCTGCCGTCGTCCTCACCAGCACCCCAGTCACCATGGCTGAGTCGCAGCAGGTGACTCCATCTCCAGCAGGTTCGGTTGTCCATCCTGCGTCTTCCTTCTTCGGTACGGATGGAGCGTATTCTCTGTTTCAAACGCTTCCTCCAGTGTTTCCATGGCAGCAAACTGCCTTCTCTAATATTCCAGGCAGCCTCACCTCCAGTCCGATGCACTCTGCCACGCAACCGACGCCTACCCGTCCAGGATACTTTGGCTCTACATTCTCGGGTACTCCTGGCCTATCTAGACCGATGGATACTTCCCTCTTTCAGTCTCCAATGGCCGCTGTTGCTCAATCTATCTCTCCGGCAAATAATGTAACTCAAATTGTTACAATCAAGCTTAAGGCGGTCGAAGATTACATCACGTGGCGAACTCAACTTGAATCTTTTCTCGTCTCTCAAGGTGTGTTTAATTTTTTGGATGGTTCCACACATGTTCCTCCCATGTACACGGTTGATTTTAATAATCGCCAAATAATTAATCCTGACTATTCTCATTGGCTCCGGGTTGATCAAACCATTCGTTCTTGGATTTTTGCTACTCTTACCCGTGATGTATTAATTGATGTACATGAACTTAAACATTCCTTTGAGATTTGGGAAAGATTGCAAAGTCGTTTTCGATCTGCTAGTCTGGCTAGGTCTATGACACTTAGGCGTCCGTTAACAAATATGAAAAAGAAAGAAAATCAGTCTATGGAAAATTATTTAAGGGAAATCCATCAATTAGTTAGTGAACTAGCTGCAATCAATTCTCCGGTGTCCGATAAAGAAGTTCTTCAGACCACTCTTATGGGGCTTGGACCGGAATATGAATATACCATGGGCACTATTTCTCTTTTTCCTGAAAATTTTCCGCCCGATATCCTTCATCGCAGTCTGTTAGAGGCCGAACAGCGTGTTCTTTACCTTCGCCAACAGGCCGGTCCACCTGCTTACCAAGCTTTTGGCGTCCAAGAACGCGGGAATACACCACGAGGAGGTCATGGTGGCCGCGGTAGAGGACGCGGAAATCAGCAGTATGGCCAACCAGGTTCCGGTCCAGGCCAACAAGGATACGGCCAGCAAGGTTTCGGCCAAGGCCAGCAGCAAGGACAGCCCGTTACACAGGGGTTCGGCCAATCCTATGGTGTGCAGCAGCCATTGAGACCTCCAAATGCAGGTGCTATGAGTAATTCTATTTTGTCTACTTTAAATACTAATGCTATACTATTTTGTGGTACTAATGTTAAATCTGCAGGCTCACCATCTGCTGAGGGAATTCTTGGGGCAATTACCCCTCCTGTTGTGTGTCAAATTTGTTTTTCTGCAGGTCATTCTGCAATCAGTTGTCCTTCCCGCTTTACTCCACCATCTGCACCTGTTCTTCTCACCGGTCAAGCTAATGAAGCTCTGTGGTATCCAGACACTGGTGCCTCTGCTCATATGACTTCCTCTGAAGGTATTTTGACAAATAAATCTATTTATTCCGGTCCAACTATTGTTAGTGTTGCTAATGGTGCTCAACTCCCTATCAAACATGTTGGTGATATTTCACTAAATTCCTCTAACCGCCCATTGCTT